GTGTAAAATGTGAGACTTAAAGGTTTGCTAGGAAGATATTGAAATATATGTTGGATTATTAAGGAAATCTTAGTTTAATCATTTACATTTTTCATGTAGCCTATGCAAATGAAACAGTACGTAGGTGCAGTTTGGGGATGGGGGCTGCAGGCTGTTTTCCTTCATCCTACCACAGCTTCCAGTCCCTATTTACTACATTTGTGTTAAGCTTGTCGTAGCAATATTAGAATAACTATCTCAGCTCTTTATCCCAGCCTCCTCACTGACCTTATCGCTGATGTCACAAATATCTTAATGTCATCCCTGCCAGCCTGCAAAATGGTGACTGAGCTTTCTTGTGTGTTAACAAATACTGTTTTCCATGGCCAAAACTTTTCTATTCCTTAAGCCTTATTATAAAATGGGAGTGATACCTCTACTGCTTATGGCACTCACTGTTCTTCCCCTCTGCTGTAAAGCTAATCCATGTGATAGCTTCTTGCTCTGGAATGGTGCCAGTAGGGGATTACTTTGTTTTACTACCTTTCTAAACTGCTCTTGTGCTGAAATGTGGTCCTGGATTATTCCTGAGTAATCCCTATGATCAGCACAGTAGCAGACACGTGCTGAAGTGGAAGAAGTAGCAAGAAGAGACAGGGAAACACATTGTGATAGACTACTTTGTGCTTGGCCTTCTGCTCAAGGTTAAAGAAGATTGAAATACTAGTTTTTATACTCTGGACTAACAAATGGCTATTAACCTCTACATAGCACCCATGTTTTTAATAGAGTTGTGTGCTACTTACACTGGCCTTGCGAATAACTAGTGATCCTCATTTCTCAGTCTTGAAATTTTTTTGTTTTATAATCCAACTGCGTAATCTGAGTATCCTAAATTTCTTAGTTTACAGTAGGAGATACGCTGGTTTTTTATGCTCAGGAAACCTCACAGCAACACCTCAGCATGTGTATGGCAGCAGCTTCATCTCCTTCTATAAGCAGTCCTAAACACCAGCAGCACTAGCCACAGCAAGAACTGCAGGACTGTGAGCTCTGCTGCTGACACGAGCTATCCATGTTAGAGGGTTTAGTTTCTACATGTTATCCTTCAGGAGAGAACTCTGTCTTAATGGCAGTGTGATATTTTTCCACTGTGTTCCTAGTTATTCACATCATAAGTGTTTGTATTGAGGAAGGTGGTGGGAGATCTTGATTCAAGACTGTAGACAGGCTTTTTGAATATTCATCAGAATGATGGTTGTAGCTGTCATCTTAGCAGTACTCTGTTCTCAAGGGATTTATGTTGTGTTCTTATCTTTCTGTAGATTAAAGGCTCATGGTTAGTGGATGCCAGCACTAGTTGCTAGCAACTACCATATTTTCCTCTTCTGATTTTCTTTGGCAACAACCTCACAGCTCATGGATCTCAAAGGTTCCTCAGACTCTAATGTTCTAGATAAGAGGGATGTTGTCTGGCACTTGCACAATGGAATTTATTGTGGAGCTTTAATTTATCAGTACTTTTCAGATGCTTATGAGAGCTTGAACATGTTATAAAATATAAGTAGTATATTTTACCCTGTCTACTGAGAAGAAAAAAAATCCTTAATTTGACTTAGAGCTAACAGCTCCCACGTATGTCCTTACAAATGCATCCAGAATCGCAAGTAGCAGGAAAGCATTTGTTTATCACAGAATGTCCTTGGCACAGTCACTGCTGTGTGCTGGAGTCTCTTATGTACAACATTTACTTCTGTTTAACAGTCACATTCCATTAAAATCCATCTTTTTTTCCCCCTTTTAGATGATATCTTCTCTACCAGCCAAGTCAAGATACCCACTCCCAAAACTAGACCTTCACAAACAGCCTCAGAAACAAAATCTGAAAGCAAGATCCTGAGCACATTTGATGACCCGTTGAATGCCTTTGGAGGCCAGTAGCCAAGGGGAATGTGTTGCAGAGAGGTGGCCTTCCTTACACCCTGTCCACTACTAATACTCTAGATTCTCTTAATTCAGTAGAGCTGAAATGAGATGGATGTGGATATTTAAATGAGATTACCATTTTAAATGGTTAGTATTCTCCTGTGCTAGTCTAATTCTGCTAAATTATATATTTTATAAAGAATACAGTAACCTCATGCTATTATGTTTTCATGGTGCCCAGATGAATATAGCCTGTGCAATACCTGCAATGAAGTAATCTATTATATAAAGGATAGTTTGTTTTATTGAACAGATTTATAGATAAAATAATGCATAAATAGTAAATGGAGTCTGTTAAACCTGATCTGTCTGCCTGTCTTATTTTCCTCTTTACCCCTTGCTTAGAGTGCCTGCATCATGACTTGAAAACAACCAAAACCACTACCATGCATTGTCTGGGTCAGCTGCCAACCTGCTATCAGGTATAGCTTCTCATATGGAATCAAGCAGTTAACAAATCTCAGTGCAGGACTTGATAGCAGCTAAAGATGAGGTATTTCATATTGGCAGCCCGTGTGGTCTATAAAAATAACAATAGTTAACACTTCTCTACCAGGAAGCTCATGTTACAGATGAGCACCACGTGATCCATGAGAACAACAGAAACCTAACATTGTCTTCTGTTCAAGTTGTGAGCCACTAAATGAGATTTGTCACCTGCATGGATTTGCCAGAGTTTTGCAAATAACACTTTCCCCAAAGTCCATCTGTACAGAGCAGCTTGGTCATTTGAGGGCTAACAAGCCTGTGTATGTACTTTATGCAGAGACTCTTTTGCACATTAAGGCTTGCTGTCTCCTTTCCCTTCTCATCCATAACACGTTGTAGGCTGTTTACAGGAGGCTGCTATTCTGTGGAATCCCTTTAACTGTCTGATGTATTTGGCTTAACCTTGCTTCCTGTATTTTCTAGCTTCCCCTTCTGGAATAGATGCCATTAACCATACCCAGTGGTTGATACTTGCTCTCTTGCATGCATACAAGGAGCGCAAATGTATAGATGCAGATGGATAAATGTTTCTTTTATTATACCAGTGACTGCCTGCAATTCTGACTAGATGCTCTGCTTTTATGATAGTGATGTACTACTTTATCTCCAACTCTTAAGACTGTTCTGCTCTGTGTGAGCTTAAAGCATGTGCTCAGAGGACTTCTTTAGGAACAATTCCTACTTTCACTGGAGCCCTGGTTCTGAGACACCTGCTTCAGATTCCTCAGCTGAATTTATTTTATCAGGCACAGTAAGTACTACAACTGAAGCATCTAGCACTAGTGAGGGTAAAGCAGAAGGAACGGCTGGAAGGGATAAAGGAGAAACACGATGTATTGATTTGCGCCATACGTGGGCCTGACAATGATTCACGTTAAGTGGGGGATAAGTTGGGAGTAGCAGCTTGGAAAAGAATGTGGGAGCTATTTGCAAATGGGTGTCTGCAGTGAAAGTGCTTGCACTTTATTTATAGGCATTACATCTGCTGCATATGCCTCATAAATGATTTGGACTGCTTCTTTACTACTTTCTTCTGTGCTTAGAAGGGCTTCAAAGACATACTGGAGGAAGGAGGAAAAAGAGGGTGAATTTTTTTTTCCTGCATCCTCCTTTCGTCTTGGTCCTTCACATTAATAACTTCTATAGCATTGCAAGGATGGCTGTTCACAAGCCAAGAACCCTGAGGGCCAGAAGCTCTTGAAATAGGAGAAAATAAAGCTCCTGCCTTACAATGTTTCTTAAATGTGAAAGTTCAGCAGAGAAAAGCTCTTGATATAAACTTGCACTATGATGATGATCAGAACCTTTCTTCCCCTCCAGTCTTCCTGAACTGGCACAGGGAGAGTTTCCATGCCTTTCCCTTTGTCTCCTCACATATTAAAATGTGTGGTCTTCAGTTATAACTGAAGCCTGGTCTAGGCACTTTGCTTCTGGGAGGGTTTGGTCTGAGTGGTGACTTTTTTAACCGAGTTTTGGCTAGATGAGTGGTGTTGGTTTGGGTGGTTGTGGTTTTTTTGTTTGTTCCTTTATGTTTTGTTTTTCTTTGCAAATTTGGCAACCACGGCTGTGTTTTTCTCTGAGGAGCAGAGCTGGAGACCCAGTGTTACAGTGCCCAGGAGCTCTGTCACAGCGCTCCTGTATGAGCTACATGCTTGTGCAAAGCCAGTGTTCTGAGTGTCTTAAATGGGCCTAAAACCTTAACAGCTAGTCAGGGTAGGTCTTGCATAACTTAAAACCTAAATGGAAAGTAAAGTGGTTAATGTAATTAGCACCTCCTAATAGGATAAGCTTGTTTTCTCTAGACTCTGCTCATCCGAGGGAAGCTCTGCTCCTGGAGACCAGCCTAGGGGAGCAGAGGCGACGCTGACCTTCAGTGAAGGTGCCCGAGAGCTGTTTCTGGCCTCGGCCTCTGCCACGGCCGGGCACGCTTCTGTCCCGGCTGGGGACACCGAGGCGGCTGCACGCAGACTCCTCCCTCCTGTGCGGGCCGGGCCGTGCGCTGCGCTGGGACACACTGGCACTCCCCGGGAGCCTCTCGGGCCGAGCGGGAGGTGTCCGTGCTGGCTCTGCCCCTGCAGCGCTCGGGCCGGGCGAGCCGCGGGTCCCACCGCCCCTCGGCGGTGCCCGGCCCCGCGGCACTCCCTGCCCCACGAGCCCCTGCGGCCGCCGCCGCTGTCAGGGCTCGCCGGTCGCGCGGTGGGCGTTGCACAGACTCACATGACGCTTTGGGCAGGAAGGGACCCGAAAGCCGGTCCCGCTCCACGGCCGCTCTGGGCAGGGTTTCCCTGGACAAGGGTTCCCGGAGCGGGCTCTGGAACACCGCGGCCATCGGGAAGTGCATCCGGGTTCTGCTCCGCGCACGCGCGGCCGCCCCGCGTCCTAACGACCATAACAAGCGGCCCGGCGGCGCCCGCCCCTGAGGCGCCGGGAGCCCCGCCCCTCGGGCGCGCTGATTGGCCGAGCTGCGTGAGAGCGGGCGTCCCATTGGCCCGCGGGCGGAGCCGTCACGGGGGCGGGGCAGCGCGGGGGCTGCCGGGCGGCGGCGCCTCCCGGTCTTGCCCCCCCGGCGGCAGCGGCGGCTCCCGCTGCGCTCCCGGTGCGCGTCCCGCCCGGCCCGGCGGGTCCGGCCACTGCGGCGGGCGGGGGCAGGAGCCGCGTGTCCCCGCAGCGGGCCCGGCGGCGGCAGGTGAGGGGAGACCGCGCCCTCGCTCGGCGGGCTCCGGGTCCTGGGGAGCGCGGCTCCCGCGGGGACCCTGCGGCGGGAGCGCCGAGCGCGGCGGGGCAGAGGATCCGTGCTCGACCCGCTCGGGCCCGGCTCCACCGGCACGGCGGTGCCCCTGCAGGGCAGGGGGCCGAGGTGCGGGCGGCGGGGCCCCGCGCCCTGCCCGAGGTGCGAGGCCGCCCCGAGGCGCGGGGGCGGCGGGAGGGGGCGGCTGCTCGCTCGCCTTTGTTCGCGGCCGCTCCGCTCGGCTGCCCGGGATCGCCCGCCGCCCCGGTGCGGCGCTGGGCCGGGCTGCCGCCTCCAACTCTACCTTGCCCCAGCCTGGGCCAGTCCCTGGGTTTGTGTCTTTTTGGAGTTTTTCCTCCGTCTCTGACACTGCCGAGGGCTCAGCCCAGTAGGGAGGTGTTGGGCGTGAGGTTGTCATGTCGTTTGTGGAAACAGAAACAAGGGTAGTAGGTTGCACCTGGAATGCTGACTGAAAGCAGAGTCCTAGAATTACAATGTCACTAATGTGTTTTGTGGTTATCTTGCACTACCTAGGTAGTTTCCGAATAAGCATTTTATTGTCCATCAATAATAAATTGATATTCTCTCTAACAGTTATGTTCAGATGTTGTCAGAACTGTGTTTGTTTGCTTTATAGGTGAAAAGTCCTAAAGATGAACAGCAATGCACCACACGTGTCTTCAAAACTGACTTGGCTAGAAGTGGAATGTAGTTTCCTGACAGATCTTCTTACAAGGAAGTTGTAAATCCTTTCTAATGGCCAACAAGAAAGAGCCTCCTTTTTTCAATAAGGATAGTATGGGACCGTTTCACTACAAGCTTCCTTTCTATGAAACTATGGAGCTCTTCATTGAAACGCTCACAGGAACATGCTTTGAACTGCGAGTTTCCCCCTTTGAAACAGTCATTTCTGTGAAAGCTAAAATTCAAAGACTGGAAGGTACTATTCTCTCTTATTTCAGTGTAAACTTTATCACTTCAGAGGAAGAGAGGAAGTCTTGATTTAAAAATTACAATTGCTAAAATCAAACTGGAAAACTTAAATGTCATGTTTAGTAGTATGTATGTAAACTAGGTGCTCAGTTTCTGATTTAGATTTAATTGGAGTTGAGTTGTTTTTCTGTTCTTTCTTTTTCCTTTAAGTTCATGGCTCAGGCTTCATTGGAATTGCTGTGTTGGCTCTTCTGGTGGGTTGTTGGGTTTTTTTATACTCAATTATTAAGGTTTAAATAAAAAGGTTATGGATTCTCTGACCTAAGTTGGTTGTTAACCAGCAGGGTTATAATCTTGAGCCACGTAATATGTCTCTGTTGTAACTGAGCATACTTGAGCATGTAACTTGCTGCTATGCTTGTTGCTTATTAGGTTAGTCAGTTTATGGGTTTTTTATGATACTGCAGTCACAAAAGCAACTGCAGTGCAGGCAAATCCCAAAGGCAGCTTTAAGTTACTGATTTGAATTTTCTTTAGGTGAGTGATCTTTTGCTGTTAGAGGTCTGGCTGAGCAATGCTTTGTCTTAGAGTGGTGAAGTTGAAACATCTTGCAAAATGAAAAGCTCCTTTAAGTTATGGGGCCTGTCCTGATGTTTATGCAAGAAGAAAAGGTGTAGGTTAGTCCTGTCTTACTCCTTTCTCTCTAGGGTGAGAATGATCCTGCATAAAAAGATATGATTTGAAATATTTAGATATACATATTTTAACTACTTTCAAGCACTGCATTCTCTTCTTCACTTTGGAGGGGTTAAAGAACTATAGCTGCAGAAGCTGAGAGTATCAGAGTTGCTCATTTTAAGAAAAGGGATCTTCTCTTTGCCTAGTATACCTGGGTTTTTCATCCTTCTGTCTGTGTGAAACCCATCCTCTGGGAGATGTAATATGATGCTTTAGACTTGAATCTAAGATACTCTCATCTTATGGAAATCTGCTCTAAGGGATGGGGAAAAAAAGGTAACTGGCACAAGTCTTAAAACACAGAAACGTTGCAACAACAGGGAGATCCAGTAGGGAGATCCACATGGCAGAAGCTCCACCATGCAGGTAACTGAGTTCACGTCCATCTAGGTACAGTAATGCAGCTGTGTGGATATGCTTTTGTTTCCTGTGGACGGGGCAATAATTAATCACAAGTCAGAGAATGCGTTAAGATGCTCCTGGAGGTTAGAGGTGAAACAAGAAAAGGAAAGGGTTTCTCTTTTCTATAATTGAATGAAGGTGTAGGAGAGATGCATAGAATGCTAACTAATTAAAACTGAATTAATTGAATTCAATAAAATTGAATTAAAAGATGTAGCATAGGCAGTAGAGTACAGGAGAAGGCAGGTTATCTGGGCAGTGTCTCTGAAGTAGTGAGCTTTAAAGGATACATGAAGAGATCAATGGGAGATGTGAAGAAGAGAAATTTGTATTTCTTGTAGTCCAAAACATAAGCCTGCAAATACACATACTGAATTATACCTGTGACTTATTGTAGGCTGGGTGTGCTTAGCTTATAAAAGTGTCATAATTTTTTTATTAGAACAGCTCAGTAATGAAGTTACAATATTGCTTATTCAGAATTTTGTTCACATACTGTAATTTATAGGATGATAAGGTAATTATGACTTAGGTGCCTGCTGTATAGAATTAATTATTAGTAAGTAAATTTTATTAAACATGGAAGATGAGTTCACTGGTGATTATCATTTAACTACTAAAAGTCAGCTGAAATACCTTGATACTCCATAACAGAGTTAAAATATCTAAGTAATGTGCTTATTAATACAATTTATGGGAGACAGTGAAAACGGATTGATCAGCTATGTGTGGAGGGAACAGATACACAATAACAAATTAATTTCATGTTGCACTTGTGGTTGCTATTGCATATAAAATAATAACAACTTTTTAGTGATGAAGTTCTTATTATAGTGCACAAATTCGAGCAGTAAATTACTCAGGTGGAGCAAACATTTTAAATTTGTTGTGATTTAGCATGGGAAGGAGAAAGTTTACATCTGCTCCTATTTCTGCTGCTGGTATTCACTTTTTGTTGTTGCATTGTGTCAACTTTCGTGGGGTGTGAATCTCTCTCATTTAAGCTGTAGTTCTGCCTGGAGAATGTTTCCTATGCTGCTGGAAGACTATCTAGGGTCCCTAGTATGTGTATTGTCTCTGTGGACTCATTTAGGCATTGAAGATGACAGTGCATAAGCATACAAAAAGACACGTTTTGAAAAAATGAGCTGCAACCTGCAAGCTCCGAGAAAAACATCTAGAATTTTATCTGAAGTTTACAAATCTGCTCAAATGTTACCAGTACCTCTAATTCTAGGAAGCTAATAATGAATTTAGAACAATACAAATTGATCTTTTTCAACAACTGGAATATCAACGGCTGTAGATTGTCTGCACTGTAATAAAAAAGCATAATATGGATGGCATGTTAGGCATTTTGTATACTTCAGATGCTGTTTGTCATTCTTGGTGCCTATTAGCAATCTGATATGGAAAGGCTTTGTTTAGACAGCTGTGGTAGACATTGGTACCTTACTAAGAAAGAGCTCCACGTTTCCAGCTATCTGTTTTCAGTGGGTTTTAGTCACTGAAGTATATATGTAAAAACTTACTAATGGGTTCTAATTCATATGAAATTTCAATGCAAGTCTACTCATAAGTTGAAGTTAAAGCACATCTGATGGGTCAGATCCAGGCATTTGTCCTCAAATATGTTCCATACTAAATAAGCAGAAGATTTGTTATAGATATTGACTTTGAAGCCCCTAGGGTAAATCACTCCTAGTCTCAGATTCACTGAATGAGCCTTTTAAAATGGTTCACTATGGAAGAAATAGCCCCCTTTGTCTTTTCTGGTGGCATAAAAGCTGGAATACACACAGCCACACGTTGTGCTGCTGGCAGTGCTACCTACTCCATTGGTTTTACTTGATTATTTGGTTTTGAATGCAGGATCATGTGTTGATGGACATGGATAGGATGGTATCCGAGTTTCAAGGTGGCATGAAAGACTGAGCTTTAACCCATGAACAGTACTAAAAAAAGCTGGGTTTTATTGAAAGTGGAAGTAATGGGGTTTTTAAAACCAAGATCTCTTTTTGCTTCCTCCATTGCACAAATCCCTGTAGCTGCTGGGCTGGACAAAGTTTAGCGTTCTTCATTCAGAAACACCAGTTATTACACTGGGTTTTATAGACAGAGCATTCAGGTAGAGTATTCCTATAATAATTTCATCTGTTAAAGAACCATAGATAATAACTGTAAACATGTTTGCTTGGTAGGACAGGATTGAGTCTCAAGGGAGCAGGTGGGCTTTGGGATTTGGTGATGGTATTATTGTTACTGGCTTGCGGGAATTAATTTGCATTCTTCAGTACAGAGTGTTAAGGCATTCATTTACATAGCTAGCTTTAAAATAAGAAAAAACCAACTTGGTCATGGTTTGTTCAGTGAGTACTTGCAACTGAATTTTATGGTCTGTGTGCATGGAAACATCTACATATTTAGAAGAAAATTTAGGTGTTCTCTTGTTCTTGTATTATTGTAAAGGGGAAAACAGAACCAGCTTTCAGAATACATCCTAATTTCGAATGCTTGTGTTCAGCAGGGAGTGACAGATGCAACAATAATTTTGTTGTTGTACGTGTGTGTACTCTCAATTCATCATATGAGTTGTTATTTTTCTTTGGTCTTTTTGCTGTCACTATTTTGCTGCCTATGTACAACAACTTCATCTTAAACAAAAGGAACTGGAAGAATGTCAGGCAGACTTCATGTGGATGTTGTAATTTCTTTCAATATTCTGTGAATTCACAGTATGTCATAATGATATTTATTACTATTTGCATTAGAGGAAATAGCTGTGCTTCTGCCAGGACTGGAGAAGTGGATCATGCAAGTGTAATGAGTTTGTAACAGAGTCAGTCTTGCTTTCCTTCTGTTTACTTCTTTTCCTCTGTGTCTTCTATTTGATTTGTCATTTGCCTGTTTACTGTGCTGGTAGATACTAGAAGTTCATGAAGTGTTTTTTAAGCTTGTGCCTTGTCTGAGCTGGTAAAACACTCCTGTGAATGCAAGACTGTCCAGATCAGATGGCTGCCCAGGGCAGAATCTGGAAGGTGTAAAGTAAGGTCACCTTTGTCAGGAAATTTTTTGGACTTGTGTTCAGTTACTGCTGATTTGCTCTTGTTAGTCTCTTCTTTGTCAGTCCCTTGGATGAAGAGCAGGTCAGTGCTGACTGCTATTTACACTGCCATAGTTACTGTCACGCAGGTCAGAGATGGGGGGGTTGACAATAGGAAAGCAGTCCTGCTACTGTGACTTGTGAACCTTTGCACCTCTTACTAGTGTAGCTAGTTTCTGAGGGAAAACAAGACTGTCAGCCCCACCTCTCCTTAAGCAGAGGCTCCAACAATTTCAGCGTTGAATGAAAGATAAGTACACTGTTTGAATTTTGACTGTGAAATGTTTGGAGTGTTTTTAAACATAGTAACCTTGTACCCACAACATAAAATTTGCTCTGAAATCTACAGGGATTTTCTTTTTCTGGATCAGACTCAACCACATCATCTGTGGTGAGCCTAGTTAGCATGCCAGAAAGAAGAGTAAAGGAAGGAAGCTATGCTGATTCAGAGACAGCATAGAGTACCCACTTCTCTCTTCTCCCCCCATTTTAGTAGGTCAGATTGTCAGTGCATCTGCAGCTGTTTCAATCGATAGTCTGCAGACTCTTCTGTCTTCCTGTAGCTCACTACACATTTCACCTGCCTAGCTCACTTCCATTTGAGCAGTGAGATGTAGCTTGTTGCTGTACTTACCTCTCAGCACTGATTTAGAGCAGGCCAGGGATACTGTCATTTGCTGCTTAGGGGGAGGGATAGTGGATGGGTATCTCACAGTTCTCATTATTGCTGGCAGTTTTACATGCTGATCCCATGTATAAATGTCTCCTCAAGAAATCCTTACTGTAATCCAGAAAAGAGACAGCTGATGAATATTTTGCTGCCTTTGAAACTATAAAGCACATACCATTTCCTCTGTATATAAATACAGAATTCTAAGAAAGCAGCATGAAAGGGAATAAGTAATAAAGACGTGTCTGTTTCCAATTACAGCAGAGTATCATCTTTTCATCTGTTCATTTCATGAAAAATACATTGTCATTGTTGAATGAGCAAAAACATGTTTCATTCCAGTATTGCCAGCTGCAAGCCAGCCTTTTTAACAAATACTCTCTCAGTTTATCAAAGTAATTGGAAATTGCTCCTTAGAGGCTGCTGAAACCATAACAAGGGAAGACAGTAATGATTGTTTGTAATCAGAAGAGTGCAAAACAACACAGAAAACTTCACTGTAGACTCACTAGCTCTTGCCAGCTTGGTTTTTTTCTTACAAGGCAGACTTGAAACATAACCAATAACCAGCTATTAAATAGCTGGCAATGTAGTAGCAATTATGTTAGTCTACGATATGAACATATTCCCTTCATAAATATCTTGTGGACTTCAGAGAATATAAGATTCTTGTTAAATGCCATCCAAGTGGAGTAAAGTTGTGTCGATCATTCAAAAAAGGGAAGATCTGGATATGAGCTGTAGTGAGAAAAGGAAATTCCAATTTCTAAAGCTTAAAGAATAACAATGACAGTTCCTCCAAAGTGCATTCCTCCTCCCAGGGACATCTCCTTAGCATGTCTCCTACTTGCCTGTTTAATCTTCTTGAACTTTCACCAGAATCTGGTCTCCTTTTTCTCCTTGCAGGTGATGGGTGTTTGTAGCTTTGTGCCTTTACCTAGGAAGGGGCTACTTAATCTCTTGCCACAGCTTGCTGAGCATCCTTGCCAGCCTTCAGAAGCTGAGATGTTTCTGGAAACTAGCTGAAGAGCTCTGATCTTTGTGTTTCCCTCTTGCCAGATGTATTTTGGGAGGTTTTACTGTGTGGCACTGCTGCTTGCATCTCCGTTTAAGTATCTGAACATGCAATGAATAAAAATATAAGATAAGGTTATTTTAAGCCTTTAGGAAAATACATTTATAACTTTTGTTTCTTAGTCTGAGGAGAAGTGTTTAGACCTTTTTGAAAAAGTAGGTCTTGGCCTCTGTAGATTTTCATTTTAATTAAAATTTATCCGGAATGCACAGTGAGATCTTAATTACTTGGGTTTCACTAGACAAATTGAACAATTTTTTTGATGCTGGAAGGATGATTTTTTTTTTCAAAGACAAAAAAAAGACATCTATTCATCTTCCATTAGCCTTAATTGTATTTTTTTGATGGTCTGAGATGTCTCATCCTTTCATAACTGTCCTCATTTGTATTCTATCCAAAATTTGGAAGGTGGTAGCATCCTAGTAAAAATGTGTGAAGACCTCGGGTTGTACCCGCTTATGCTTGTTATGTTTAATGTGTATTATATTTGTATCTAATGAGTTGACTATGCAGGCAAAAAGCAACAAAAGTTACTTGTGTAGGCTGTGGATTTTTTGGTAAGGAGCAAATATTCCGTATGCGTACTTTCTTTTAACAAAAATGGCCAAATTGTCCCAGAGCTTGAGTTGAAAATGAGTATTACTGGATATTACTAAAATGTTCTGATAGCCTAAAGAGCACCCAGAACAAAAGCATTTGTAGGACGAAGTTTAATTAACCTCTGTGGTGCTAAATTGTACGTGTGAATTCTCAGGTTCCAAACCAAGCTAGGATAAAAACACATTTGCAGGTGTGTCACCACTGTAATAGAGCTGCCACCAGTCATGTGAGTGTCTGCACTGTGGATAATACAAAATATCAGTCTGTGATTAAGTTATTCAGCAGTTCTGTAGGTAGAAGTTTTATCCTGTTTTTCCTGTCAATAGACATAAAAGTTCTGAGGTACAGATAACAGGAAAAAACCTCCCTCATCTGATGACTGGAAAAAGGAAGTATTCAACAAGCCTGAAGCAGCTGAACACTTCTGCAGACCCCTTGTTGAGGCAAAACATAGAACTTTGTGTGTGAGCTAAAGCCTTCTGAAAACCTTAACTTTGTTTTTAATAACTAATTGGAGGTTGAGTATCATGACTAAAGGCTACTCAAATGCCTGTCCTTGTCCTGCTTCCTCTCTTCCTTCTCCTGTGATGAATCCATCAGCCCCACGCTCTTTAAAAAATTAAAACTCTCCAGAAGCCCTTCCACCAACTCCAATTTTTAGTTTTGTTTGTTTTGTTTAGGTATTCCTGTCTCTCAGCAGCACTTAATTTGGAATAATACGGAACTGAAGGATGACTATTGTTTGAATGATTATAAGTAAGTATAGAATAAAATTATGTTTCTAATTAATATTTCTAAATTATTGTTAGCATAAACAACAGAAAATGCTATAAAAATTATTTGTTATTTGCAGCATTTCAGAAGGCTGCACTCTGAAGTTAGTTCTGGCTATGCGAGGTGGACCTGTTAACACCAGAAGAGGTAGGTGTTAACTAAGTTAAAAATAATGGTCTTTCAGTGTCTTATAACTGTAAACAGCTTCTCTTAGCTAAGCATTTTAGACAATCAGACATAGTTTCAAATTAACTGGAAAAATACTCAGCAAAAATGGAGGGATTTTTTTCACCATCTTTTCTTTCTTAGCATACCAAGAGTACTTTGTTTACTCTTTGTTTATTTGTCTGTATAGAATCATGAAGCCATAAAATTAGCAATTCTTCACTTGAAGAAAAAATTATACTGTAATGTCATTATACAAATAGATTTTAAAATATGTTGGTAAGAATCAGGCATAGTTTCAGTCAGATGATAAACTTGGTTATGTACATCATCTATATAGAAATGAAAATGGAGAAATACCCTTGATAACTTTCACTTGGAAGAAAACTCAGCATATCTTGTAGGTTGGGAATTTCTGTTATAAACTGAGCTGAGCTCTCAAAGTTGACAAAACAACACTAATAATGTTTAATAATGTTTTGGGTTTATTTTGGTTTTTTGTCTTTGTAGTTCCTGTGAAAGACCCTATCAGGGAAATGGCTGAATACATGGATCCTACGCGAGACAAGACCTGGGAGAAAGTGCCATCCAACAAACAAGTTACCTTCTTAGTATATCGAGAAGGAGATAGGTTGAATTTCTTCCGTGTGGTTGACCGGGGTGATGGCACTTTAACACCGTTATCTGAGTCTTTGAGGTAAAGTTGGTTTTAATCTTTAAATTATTCTTCAAAAGTGGGTTGCTGTATAATTTTCAGCTTTATTTGTTGACTTTATCAAAAGAATATCTGGAATATGCAAGAATTATTCCCTAAGGTCTATTAAATTGCTTTAACTGGGGGGCCTAACGGCACAGTAGTGCTTTGTGGTCAGTGGTCATGCTGATGGTTCTCTTTATCACTGTGTGCATTAATATAGTGAGATAAAGCTGACCTCATACTTAAGGCAATTCTCAGCATTCCAACCCTTTCTGAAAAGCAGCATTTCACAGGAAAGTCACTTTTACCATGTAAGATATTAAAACCTTCAGTTAAGCACTTTCTCTTCCATCTTAAGGCGTTTGTTTAGTTTTGTAAACATTTCTCTGTTCACAGCAGAATTTTTTTTCCTATGCATATGACTTGACCAAATGATTAATCAGGAAGACAGTAGGTTGGCAGTGCAAAATCCTGTGGGTTTTGTTTGTTGGGGGTTTTTTGTTCATTTTGGGGGGGTTGTTTGGTTTGAAGGGTGTGGCTTTGTTCTGGGGGTTTTTTGGTGGTGCTTTTTTTGTGTGTGGGTGTTGTATTTTTTTTTTTGTTTTGGTTTTCTAAAATGTACTAAAGTAATTACTGATAGAGCTAGCCTTTGGATGTAATTAGGCCTCAAGTTAGCTACTGTTGACATACCAAGCTGTAAGAATCAAAGTGCTGTTATCATCAGAAGAGCAAGTATGTCACTTAACCTACTACGTTGTAGTGAATGGTTTAGTAGTCTTTTTCTAAAGCTATCAAAATTGGTAATATCTATTAAAAATTATTACATTCTGGTTTTATACTGCAGCTTTTGGGTAGGGTTTTTTTATCCCCTCAAGGACTTAATAATTATACAACTGTGAGGAAAGGAGTCCCTATTCTGGAACAAGCTAAGGCTTGTGCTAAGTGACTATTCTTGTTTCTGTTTGCAAAGTGAAAGCAAGAGCTTTGTACTGGGTTTGTATTCAGTGATACTAATCTTATAAACTTCTATAAAAGATCTGTACTTAAAAACTACTGACTGAATGAAATACCAGGGTTGAGTTCCCACAGTGTTATACAGAGTAGAAAGACCTAGTGTTTGTTATACAATTACTGGAGAGAAGGAAAAGATACAAATAGTTTTGATCTGTGATCTTTAGGCCCCTGCACTCTTTCAGTAAATAACCACATATGGTATTGTTTGTAGGTTTGAAATAGGTTAAACCAAGCATGATTGAGAACTGACAACCTTGCTGCTGCTTTGGGCTAGATACACTTCTGCAAAGAGCAATCCAGTGTAATTCTTGTTCTCACTGATACTCTATTACCACATTGTTCCTGTTTAATGTTTTGACTCCAGCAAACATCCAAACCAATCCAAAAAGCTGAGACTGTGGATGCTAAATGAGTTATTGCAAGGAATTGTCATAAGGAGTTCAAACTTTCAATTTTGACTAGAACTGGCTTCCTGGTATCCACCTGCATGTTCAAATCTTTGTGTGTATGTGTGTTGATTTTCACACACACACCCCCCTTCCCCATTTAAAACTAGTGTGGACAATTGTCTTATGGTCTTAGTACTTTTCCATTAGGATCCCAGTGAATGGATTAAATATTAATTTGAGATTGGCTAAATGTTGAAAATTGGAGGAATAAACTGCAATCTTTTGGCTCTCACAGGGCACCAGGGCAAGCCTTTCAAAGCATAGCAGCACATATAAAACCCACATACATTGTGCTTAAGAAATGTGCTGTCACTTGTCAAATGAACCAGTTAGGATGAAAACCGTGTGAGTTGTTTCTATTTCTCTGCGCTTTCCATGGGAGATCATTTATTAGCTTTTCTACTAAGGCAGACAGTAATTTGGAGAGGGAGGAAATCCTTGTCTTTGAATTTGTTATTAAGGCTGGGTTAGACTGTGGGAAATGGAAAAAGCAGCAAAGGGAGGAGAGAATGGGAACAAATCAGACCTTTTCATTTGATCTTTATAGAGGAAGGCTATGAATCACGCTGAATACTAGCGTTTTCCACACTGACAGTTAAATGTGTGTCTGTGTGTGGGTTTACTGATGACTGAGCATTTTGAGGCATTTGTTTATCAGCTTCTCTCACTCTGTGTGTGTGTGTGTGGAGCAGGATTCAATGACTGAAATTTAGAAATGAGACATTGGTTTCAGTTTTGTTTTATAGGTCTCCAGATCATTTTATTTTATCTGTGGTTGAGTTAATGGTTAAAACTTGACAAAGTATAAATGCATACAATGAGTGTTGAAGTTGTGGTGGAGGATGGGCAGACACTGGTGCCAAAAGGGTTTCAGCAAGCTAGTAATTTTTGAGACATGCATTTTAAAAGCAAGAGTTCAGGAATGTTGACACCTACGGAAAAAGTAAATTTAAAATTTACTGATTGGAAAATAGGCTGAAGGTATCATTTAGATCAAAATTCCCAGTCCAACTTTTACAATACATTAAAACAAACAATCCTGTCTATTACTCCTTTTTTTTTTAGTGTTTTTGACCTCTACTTAGTCAGAAAATTGAAAAAAAAGGGATAACTATTATTTTTACATTTTAAAAAAGCAAAAAACAAACAAACAGAATAACCACAAACAGACAAACATAAGACATACCACTTTATTTCCTATCCTTACCTTGAAGGAAGGGAAGTTCAACAATTTATTTTGAGTTGGTGACTTAAATCTTTGAGAGTTAAAATTTTGAAATTATTTTTTTTAGTGTTGGTCAGACATGCTGACTGTCCCCATATGGAACCATTCAGGTCTTGGTAAGAATTGACTGGTCTATTTTGCTGACTCTTGCTTTGAATTTGCTGCCATCTTGCTCTTCGTGATGTCTCCCAACTGTGCTGCCTTTGGAATTTTGCTGCATCTTAGGGAAATGGATTTGCAGAGTCAGTACAAAAAATACTGGCTCTTGACTAAGGGCAGCAGAGTATTTTCAAGAATCAGGTAAGATGCCAACTCTAATTAGTGATTTTTTTTTTCTTTTGGTACTGACTTCCTCGTGACCTTTAGTTCTTCCTTGATCTTTTTTGAGACTAGAAATTTGAGTTAAATCTACTAAGACATTTGTACAAACACAGGGGAATTGCCTGATTGTCATGATTTCTGGATGCTGACAGCCTAATGGAAGAATTAAAGCACTCCTTAAAATGTACTACATACAATGTTTAAAATGTATCAATTTGTAATTAATTGGACGCTCCTAATGGTTCTTTCATTTCACTGTCAAATGTTAAAATGTTAGTGATAATGCTTTATTGCTTCCTAGGAAAGTCAAGTTAGATGCTGATTTTAAAGCACTGAGGTTTTGCAGTCTTTTAGAATGCAGAATGAAAGAAGGAAATGTCATTCTATAAACTTCCAGTGACTACTGAGTTAAAATATTTTGTCTTGGGATTAACAGTTCTAATCTATTTATTTTTTTTTCCAAATGTGAGACTCTTTGGAAACCTAAACTGATCTTTATCTTTTTTTTTCTTTTTCTTTTTTCTTTTTTTTTATATTTTGAAAAGGAGAAATAGAATATCACATCCACATGGGTGACCCCTCCATTTCCATTTATGGTGAGAACACCCCTCAGGATGGATAGAAATTTGGACTTTTCCTTCCATGCCAGTGTCTGGTTAATTGGAAAACTGATCAGCTTGTTGTCTGAGTCACACACTTAACAGCTTTGGCATATCTTCAGGAGACATTTGTGGAACTGGATATCCCCTTCTGGGGGAAAAATATATAGTGAGTGTGAACCAACTGTATATGATATAACAACTTCCCAGAAGCGTAGCTATGTTCGGATTTCGGCAAGACCACTTTGCTCTTACAAGGGATGCTTATGTGGATAAGTGGATTTGAAATGTCTTTGCATACAGTTTTACATAATGCTTTGTCAACAGATCAACTACGGATATGACTTCCTAGTTGTGAGAATACTCTACATTAAAAACATAATTAAATTACTTGATTAGATGGTGAATACAAACTTTCTTTTATTTTCAGCAGTGGTTCAGTTTATAATATATATGCTGATGATGAAGATGAGACAGAGGCATCACCTTCTGGACAACAGATTATTGAGAATTCCATTACTATGAATAAAATGAAACTGCTCAAGGCAAAGATGGAGAACATGAATCTGAGTAAAAAGGTGAAAACATGATTTCAATTTTTCTGTCATAAAACAACTAGGGCTTTTCTTGTGCTGTTTTTTCTGAAAAGCAGGTCAGATACTTTGCTGTCTTGGGAAGTGAAGTTATTAAAGATTTCTCATCAGTTGTTAATGTAAATATTCTTGTATAAACATTCTCGTAAGGAGTATTGGCTTTCCTTAGATCTACCTGTCCTAATTGAAAGAATTCACTACTGGTCCTGGATTTATTTGCATGGGTGGGCTTTTTGGGTGGGTGGGTTTTTGTGGTTTTGTTTGTTTGGGGTTTTTTTCCTTCCAATACATGAAATAGCATTGTTTTGTAGTACTGCTCTGGTAAAAGTCAGTGTTTCTCCCAAATGAAACTTAACTAGAAATACTGTAACTAAAAAGCCTATAAAGTGAAATACAAGAATGAGATTACCCTTATTGGGTTTGAGGCCTGAAGTTCTTCTGGATAACCTTAATGGCATTCTGGCTTCCCTTTTCTATTTCTCTGACATATAACCTATTTACTGAAAAGCATTTTCTGACTGTAATCTTTTATTTTAATATTCAGATGTTGGGTTGAAGTTTTGATGGCTAGTAACATATGATGGAGTAGAAGGAACGATTTGATCCTTTCTGGCCTTACGCTGTCTGAATTCCTCGGAATATGTTCTCAGTCAGGTCTTTGAATGCAATTGGAATTCAAATACTAATTGTTGTTGTATCTGTGGGGTTTTTTTATTTTTGTTGGTTTGGTTTTTAATAGCCTAAGAAGACTGTCAAGGTGAAACCTCGTCCTCCAATAACTCCTCGACCATCTAGTGGCTCAGTGGCTGCTGCGCGTCACCGCTTTTTACGAGTGCTCCCCCATATCGGACAGTCGTGCCTACCTCCTCCTGGGAATTTGCATCAGTCGGAGTCTTCCCAAAACGCACTTTCAGCATTGGCTACTTTGGCCACTGCTGGCAGAACAATGCCATCCACAGTTAATCACTTCCTTAAGGAAGATGACACTTGGCAGAGCAGCTCTTGGTCTCAGCCAGTTGGTACCATCAGGTTACCACCAAAAATATCGCGCGTCGAACTAGAAAATGCAAAACTACCTACAAATGGTGTTCTGACTCCTGTGTCATCCCTGCCTGCGAATTCAGAAAAAGCATCTGAAAATGTGACCTCAGCAAGTGAGGAGGATGCTGTTTTATTTCCAGATCTAACAAATGGAGAACTATATGGAACAGAAGAAGAACACCTACCTGAATCCAATGCTTTTACTTTTTTAACGGAAGGAAGCACCGCTGAACAGTGCAGTGAGATATATGATATGGGAAAAGTGAACCCAGAGCTTGAACTGCCTGATGGAGACAAAGAGTCTAAGGTTGTAGAGCAGCATAGAAAACCTATTGGCAAAGTGCTGGGCACTGCAGCAGTGGAGACTGGTCTTCTCCGTACTCGTGAATTAAGTCCTCAGAAAAATCTGCTTTTATCACCCCTTCGGTATTCAGCACAAGCAGCGTGTCACAGTTCTCTGAAACCACAAGCACAACCCAGATGCTTTGAGGCTAGTAACTTGAGATCTGCAGCCTCCCCGAACGTGCTTCAGTCACTGGAAGTACGTAGTATAGCAGACTCCTCTTTTCCTAGGACTGCTAGATTTTGTAGTGTGAAAGTAGAGTCACTTGGCAAAAGACCTGATGTGATTTCTAAAGCAGAGGATAGGGACGTTACAGATGTGGCTAGCAAGGCATCCAAAGAATCTGTGAGTTCTGTAAGTAACTTAGGATTTCTGGCTTCGCTGGCCCGAAGCACAAACAGGGAAAGTTTACAGAGTTCCTGTGGGACAGGCAGGTTTCGGACTTCTGGTATTGCACTACCTACAAACCTGCAACATTTTCAGGAAGAAAGCTTTAGGAAAACTGCTCCTCCAAATGAAGCTGCTGAATATATTCTAGTGAGTATTAATGCATCCAGAGAAATTGAAGTTTTCCTGTCTCTTCTGGTACTGATGTTACAAAACTACTCTGTGTGTATGTATGTGTCTTGTCGGGAAACACAGATGGGGAGAAGCGGGAGGTGTGTTTAAATCCCTGATTTGTCTTAAACTGGTTTTTGAATTTCTGTTGGTATTTAGACTGCCTTATCTAAACAGGTCCTGGAAGTAATTTTTCATAGATTAAAGTGTTTGTTCAGTTCACAACTGAAATTATTAGTTATTGTAATGATAGAATTATGAGTGTCTGTGTTAGAAGTGTCATCTGGCTTCTGCTGCTCACTAATTGTCACACTGAGTGTGCCCTGTGACTGGCACCATATGTGCCAAGCTTCAGCTCTCTAATGTACTTTGTTGTTTTGAAGTATGGGGAGGTTTATTATATAGTCATTTAGGGTAAAGCTTTATATTGCAGAATGTTAACTTAGTCTGCAGAAATTGTCTTGGACTCTTCGTAGGTACATTGATTGATGAAACATTGATATCAAATAAGCTGATACCAGACTGCCTAAGTTTTCATTTGATTTCCATCTGCTAGTAATTTCCATGTGGAAATTTTTTTTTTTTTAGTCTGCGCACGGGCTTGGAATGAATGGAAGTATGGCAGCTGTAGGGAAAAGAGTAGGTAAGTAACTTACATAATAATTAAAGATGACTCTTTAATCTTTCCTGGTATATCACACATAAAGAGGACAAAAATAATTTATCTTTGTAAGGCAGGTGGCTTTTAGAGTCCTTGTTGTTTTGCACTTCTATAGCATGACTAAACTTTTAATATTTTTAAGCAATTCTTTAAAATAGAGATGGCATCCAGATCTTATGTTAAAAAAAAGCAGTTATGTCAACTTAAACGTTTTTAATACCTAATGAATCCCACATGTCATCTGTAGATATAAACATGACTTTTCTGCGGTGAAGTTTCCAAACGGTCAGTTCTGTGAATAGTTCTGAGTCTACTAAAATTGGAGCCAAATTTATCAGTAACATTGTCTTTAGCTCTACAGCCTGAGCAAAAGAAAAGCAGGGAAGAAACAATAAGGGCATGGATGCTAAGAACGTTGATATAGTGGAGATATTTTTCACTATCTTTTGTTGTGATCATCATTCTTTCCACCCTAATCTAGGCAACTATGGAGTGCTTAATGCTTGACATCTACTGAAAATGAATGTGTTATGCCTAGATATTAGTTTCTTATGTGATTAATTCTTCTGGGAGGAAAAGAATTGTCTACATTAATGCTTTCAAAACTCTTAAGACAGTGAGCTAAAGATTTTCAACACATTTAATTTTTCTTCTTCACCTCTCTGACTTGCAGCTTGCAGGTTTTCTTTCTGTATGACCTAAGGAAGAGGCAGGCATGTATTTTAGGATTTTAAGATCTAGGTATAGAGAATGAGCTAGAAAATAGATGTTCAAATAGTAACTGCAACAGGAAAAATGATGTAATTGTAGTGTGGGAGCACAAGCTGCTAAAGTAGTGGATTGCGCCTTTGTTTCACAACTGGGGTGCAACTTTGACTTGGCAGACAATTAATAAGCAGGTCTGTCCTTAGCTACTCCTTGGTAAAAAGGTGATACCCTAAAAGCCATGTCTGCATGATGGGAAAGCCTGCTAACATCAGCATCATTTTGGATACAACTATGAACAAGACACTATTGTGGTGTATCTTCCAAAAGATACTAGACATGAGAAAGACCAAGTTAGTGTCATCATATCATGCAGGCTCTTGAGAGAGACATGTCTGTTGTGTAACTGGCTGAGGGACAGAGTCAGTTTTCAGTGTAGTTGCTGTAGGGACCGTAAATGTAAGGGCAGGTGTATTGTTTTTTATGGTCCACATGGCCATCTGTCTTCAGGCTCTGTCTCTTCCAGAAACTGGGCTAAATGAAATAATTGCTTTTAGATTATGAAGTTGTTAGCATGGGCAAACATAGCTTGGAAGTTTCGATGTTAGGTAGCAGTGAGGTGGGAGAGGATAGTAGTGATGACTGCAGTGTGTGGTGACTGCCTGATGCTGCTGTTGAATGTAGCCCGCTGTATAACAGCTAAGAAGTGACTTATGTTGGGATTAGAAGTGTCCTGTACAAAAAAATGCTTCTGACCTCATCACTTTTTGGGAACATCCTGACAATAAAACAGTAGAAACACTGAAAGAATGTTTGAGAGGATGCATTGCTTACTTTCACTGTCCCAGCATGTGGGAAATACGCATAAGCAAGTTGTGGACAAAGACCTTACTTTTACAGAGGGAAGGAAGATACCTTTTCTTTACATGCTCTCCAGTTAATAAAGCAATGGCCAAGAATTACAGGGCAAAAAGAGTAAAGTAAATTTTTAAGTATAGAAATTTTACAAATAATCTGCGAAGTGCCTAATGTAAGCATAGCTAAACAGAGGCCTGTAGTGTAATACTATACTTTCCTTGCAATTACAGAGTACCAGCAAGATTTTAAAATGTTGCAGTACTTCTTTGGCAAACTAACACACTGAATGTACTGGGTGCTACTGGAATGCCCAATTGATTCTTTATAAAGCCATTGTGTGCAGTGGTTTTCTGAATCACACTACATGTGTTCATTTTGCATTTGGGAAGACCATTATCAGATGCATTTCTTAATTTCTTCTTAACTTCTTGCTTACGTGAACTTTTAACAGGTGTTAAAAATAACAGTTCTAAGTCCCACATTGTGATGCCTCTTTGTAAGGTGTTGATAGGCTTGAGGTGTGTTTTCTGTTGTGGCTTTCAGGGTTTTTTTTCCCTCTCTCTGTTTAGGCTTTGGGGTTCCCACCTGAAGTATTCTAAGAAATGTAAAATGAATCTGGGTTTCAAAAGATGACTTTATTCACAGACTAGTTAAATGTTAAAATAAAATGTCTTTGCTGTCTTTCTACTTCTGAAAACAGGTGAAGCAACCTATCTTCCACCTGTGAATGGTTTAATTCAAGCAAAAAAGAAAATTACAAAGCACTGCTTTCTTTGTGGCAAGAAAACTGGATTGGCAACCAGCTATGAGTGCAGGTAGGCTGAGCATATAACCACCTGTTACTTAAAATTGATAGCTGAGTTAACCAAAAGGTTTTCTTTGCTGCATGGTATTCCTTAAGGATAGAAGATTAAAAGGCAACCTTCAAAAGGGTTGAATTTCTCAGTTCAGCAAAACTGCAGGAATTAAAACTCAGGAATGTACCTGTTCTGCTTTTGAGGTGTATGTTCTTCCAGGAAGATCAAGAAATGAAAGGTATTAGAATGGAAGATGTCAGGAAATAAAAACACGGTAACAAAAAAAGAACAATGACATTTTATACTGGTGTGAGTAGAACTTGTTACAGATATATATTCTACAAAGTGTCTTGACAGTAATGATATGATTAACAACTTGAGGAAAAACTGGCTTTGTTAGAGCTGTTTTTTCAGAAAATCTCTCTCAGATGTGGTTCTATTGCAACACATTTTCACAGATTGTGAATTTATGCAAATTTATATTCAACAAATATTTTATGTGTGTTCTGTTTTTTGCAAGACTTCAGTCACCTTTGAGCATGTAGAGCATTTCAAAAGCAGAACATCAAGTGCTGGTCCCCCAAATCATGACTTCCAGACAACACTATGAGACCTGGCACTTGATCATGATCATGAGGGGAAAAAAACAAACAAACAAACACCAAACAAAACCTAAACCAAAAACCCAAACCAAAAACAAACAAATGAAAACACCAAAACCCCAAACAAACAAATAAAACCCAAGAAAGCAAATCACCAAAAAAAGGCCTGCATTCTCTGTTCATCTTGGTTTTCCACGAATTTTTTCCCTCAATATATTTTTTTCTTAGTATTGTTTCCCATGAGCTAATCAAGGTTGGGGGTTAATCAACTGTGAGTGCTGCATTTGGAGCTGATCTTGGTCCATGCCAATCAACGGCCAAATGAACAAGACTTCTACCATTGGAGTGTTGTATAGGAGAGTTTCAGGGTGAGGAATTGCTTCCCTACTGACTCTTCAGTTTTTGATTTTGAAACAGTTTTGGACATTGCACACTCCCCGCTGAATGAATAGCTGCAAGCTCTTCTAAAAGTAACTAAGCAGCTTGCTTAAGATAAAAAATGAAGGGGAGAAATTACACATCTCCAAAAATAGCATTTGGTTTGCTTTGAGAAGGAGCAACCATATGACCTTTTACTGGAAAGGAACATGAACCAAAGAGAGTACATTTGTGTGAGAGAAGTGGTGATTATGGGACCAAGAACCAAAGAAATGCAATTTTACTACCAGGCACACGAAGCCACTGAAACAGTAGCTGAAGAGTTTATTATGAACCCAGATAAACAGATAAATAAATAGGGGATTACAGTCTAATAGTGAAACAGTAAATTGGATAGGTAGCACTTAATCAAGAGAATTCTGATTCTGAATGACGTCATTCTTTTACTGTCAAGAAGCATCTTTATTGAAAAATTAGGCTATCAGGATACTAATATCAGTCTCCGCTTAAAGCACTTGTCCAGATCAGATACAATATCCAAAGTATCTTTTCTCCTGTTAGGAGGTCTTAGCTGCTGAGCTGTCAAGTTTGAAGGCAAAAATCATAATCTTAATTCATCAAAATTGCAGCTGATATTGGATAGATGCACCCTTTTCCAGTCATATAGGAAGTTATGTTCCCTGTAGTTAGTCTGTCTGATGTCTTTACAGATGAATAAATCTGTATTTATTAACCTTAAATGACTAATCTGAGTTTACGCCAGACAGAAGTTGTGCCAAACTAAACAACTCTTTTGATGGTGTGAATGATGTGTGGCTTTGAATTAAAATCCATTACATGGATTTCACCTGATGCCATTATTTTAGTTCCATGGTTTTGTCCTCTGAATTCCACCAACTGATGTTGTGTGAGGTCTTTAAAAAAGAAAGAAAGTAAAACAAAGTTCATAATTCTTAATTTAAAAGTGTGTTTGATCCTTGCTAGCTGGTTCCAGGAGTACTGATCTTGCTTTGCTTACCAGTTGAAGAGGCTGTTGGGTCAAAACTGCAACATTCAGTTAGAAAAATCTTGTTTTGTTTACCCCACCTGTTAGTGTTATCAGTCAGGAATGTTAAGAATCCAAACAGCTATGTCAAATAAGACATGATTAAGCAAAAGCGCTCCCAGCATGTCAGAGCATTAAAGATCTTCTTGTATCTTCTAATATTTCTTCAGATGTGGAAACAACTTCTGTGCAACACACCGCTATGCAGAGACCCACACCTGCACCTATGACTATAAGAGTGCAGGGCGAAGGTATTTGCAGGAAACCAATCCCATCGTTAGTGCACCAAAGCTTCCCAAAATCTGACATGGTTGTGCTGCATGTGGCCATTCTGCTGTTGAAGAACTGTGTTGAATTGAGAGAAGCACTTGCTTTAAACTGCATAATTTTACCATGCTCCATATTTGAAGATTTGCCAAGTAACAAAAGCACATGAGGATGCATCCTATCGAAGAATAATGTGAACACTACTGCAGTTAAGACTTTTCTTCTTGAGTGAATGAAAGGTTAAAAATTAGTTTCTAAAAACTTACACTATGATTAACTGTTACTGCACGTGTTGTGTTTTATATTTGGAAAAGCTATTTCACTAGACAAGTCTTTAAAGATGCACTTTACTAACTTTATGTATAACTAGAGTTGAGGGGGTGTTGTAATGAGGGTGTCATGTAATGTCTTCTGTACTCTTGCGTTTTTGTCCATTGTGTGGTATCTTTTAAGTTATTTCACTAGAAAGGTCCTCCTCCTTCCCCTTTCGTCAAACAGCCTGTTTTGAGATTTTTAAGGGGATAGTGTGTTCCACCTCTCTGTTTCATTCTGATTGGTATTCATACATTGTGTGTCCATTCTGAAAATTACATATCATCTTAATCACATTTTCTTAAAATAATACTGTTTATATGACAAGTTTGTTTCTAAATAGAAGGTTCCCTGTTTGTTGCCATTAAATATAAGAAACAACTTACTTTAACTTTTTTTGTAATCCTAGATTTTTTTAAGACTTCACAACTTGGTTTGTTAAGATGTTGAATGCTGTTACTGGAAGAAATTCTAATAAATATTAAATTTTATTCTGGTTTATGTGTTATAAATGCACAAAATAACTTGTCTCATACAGCATGTTTCTAAATTAAAAGTTGGGCTCTGTTGGGAGCATATATATATTTAATTTTTTTTTCCACGAGTTCATGCTGAAGAAGAATTCCCACCAGCTTCATCAGGAATAGTGTGACCAACACTGTGTACTTTTAAATAAACCTCCTGAAATCTTACAAATGTACGAGCAAAGGCAAAATGGATGTTCAATAAATGGTATATGTTAAGCTTTCTCCCCTCCAGCTGATACTGTGTAAGGGCAGTTCAGTAAATGCATTAGACACCTCTAATGAACATGCAGCTACTGCAGAAAGTGATGCTGGAAGAATATACCTACTAGAAAACTTCCCTAATTCATTCCATTAATGCTTCTGAAATATTTCTATAGAAGTTTTATTAAGTGTTCCAGTATAAAGAGATAAATAAAAACCTACAACAACCCACCAAAACAAAAGAAATCCCCCCACACTATATGTAGGTAATCAAATGTCATTCATGATCCCTGTCTTATCAAAGTCCTCAGCTACTTAGTTGGTTGTGGTATTAAAATGGTCTATGCTGCACTCAAACAAGAGCAGCTTATGAGAATGAAAGTCAAAAGTTGGACCAAAAAAGAGACTTGGTGAAAGAGGGAGAAGTAACTCGAAGAATCTTGTCCTTGTAGGAAATCCATTTGGTGTAGTCTACTAAAACTTCTTAAACCTGAAGTTTTCACAGAATGATGAACTTGGTAAAAAATGTTTGCAATCATCCTTCTGGGCAGTGATAAGATAAAAATATAGTTCTGTGTGTGTGACCTCCAAGCTTATTATTACTGGAGAAGGTTGCATATGGTATGAAGAAAATGTCATTACTGAGCCATGCTAGATACCATAAACATGCCTGTAGTTTTTGTTTCCTCTCCAGCATGGGACAGTACTTGATGTTGAAGGAAAAGAATAAGGAGCATGACAAATGTACTAGTGATTTCCCAACAATTTCTCGCGTGCAGCTCAGCAACTTTCTGAAGACAGAAGCATTGTTGTTTTTGAAGGTACAGTAGAGATCTGGTAAGAAGTAGAATTAAAAGATATCATCTGTCATCACTTAGTCTGATTTTGCATGAGTAAAATCGTCAGGAAACTGTTTTGCAGTGCGTTAGAATGGCCATACTCAAATTTTAGTAACACTGCATAACAGATGTGTGGCAGGAAGTCTGAGTCACATCTCACTTTTGACTCTCCCTTTCTGCATATGTATAATGAAGTGTTTTTTCAGAAAATGCAATACAGGAATAATTTAATTTCCCTGTGTATAGCTTCTCATAATTTTTATTACAGCTTATTTTAATTATCCTTAATACAGACATTTCTTCTGCAGAACTCTACTGGTTTTGTTCTTGTATCAATACCATGTTACAGGCTTCCATTTTCAGCCAGTAGTACAGCCCTAAGAGCACTTTAATTTGTAATGAACTGTTTCAGTTGCTAATTTAGATGCTATTGGCTTTTACCAAATCCTGTGTTAGATTACGCTATGGAATAATTACTGTTTACTGTAAAACTTACCTAAATGGTTTAGTTTTGAGCATTAATCAGTGTTCCATGGTGCTACACATCTGCTTAAAACAAATGATTAGCTTTTGTGTGTTTGTTCATGTAATTGGCTTATTGTACTGATAAAGCATTTACATACTGGAAGTTTAGCAGTTACTTTGGTGTGTACTTCTCTACCTTCCTGCCACCTATTTTTTGCATGCTTCATTGATGCTTGAGAACCTATGAGGCAAAACCAGGCTGGTCTCTTGTTGAATGACCTCCAGGATTCCTGTGTCAAATTTATAAGAACCACAGAGGTGTCAGAAATGCTTTTGGATCTTGAATTAAATATTTCCTTTTTCCAAAATCTTTAGAAGCCCATGGTGATAAAAATCTCTTCTTGCAGTTTCTGTCTGTTCAGTTTGCAGTCCCCTGTGGTGTAATTGCACTGGTGCCTTCTCTAACAGTCTTCAGTTGTAGACAAGGCTAGTATTGTTAATGCTTTATATTACAGAATGAAGTTTTTCTAGCTTTTTTGCATGTCATGAACTAGACAATTTGGTTTCTTTTCAAGTTTCTTTACACTTGTGGGTGTAAATGGTGGATTTGGCGTTGCTTCTGCCTGTAAGGAGCTGCTTCTACCTGCAGCTTTTGTGTTGGGGCATGTTTTTCCAATCTTTATGTAAATCAGGTTCATCTCAAGATGCATTTGGCAGTTTTTCTGGTATCTATGTTAGCACTGAGCCACAGTTGCTTACAAGAGGACATATGTAACCTGAGGACTGGAGCCACCTGCCCTACAAAATCAGGCTGAGAAAGTTGGGACTGTTCAGCCTGGAGAAGAGGAGGTTGAGTGGAGATGTGATAGCAACCTTCCAGTGTCTGAAGGGCACCTACAGGGAAACAGGAGAGGGACTCTTCATCACAAACTGTAGTGATAGGACAAGGAGTAATGGGTACAAAGTGGAAGAGGGGAAATTTAGGTTAGATATTGGGAAGAAATCTCTTACTATGAGGGAGGGTTGTTTACACATTGGAACAAGGTTGCCCAGGGAGGCTGTGGATGCCTCAACCCTGGCAGTGTTCAAAGCCTTGAGCAACCTGGTCTGGTGGGAGATGTCCCTGCACATGGCAGGGGCAGTTGAGACCAGATGAGCTTTTAAGGTCCATTCCAACCCCTTAACATTCTATGATTCTATGTGAAGCTGTGGAACAGTTGTGTGAGCCTATGCTACTGCTGATTACAGTAGTTTTTACCTTGATTGTAGTTTGGGGTGGTTTTGCAATCTTTGTAATGGTTGGAGTGTTGTGTGGAAAACAGTGGAAAAGGTACTACCTTATTATTATTAAAAATATTATTACTTATTGTCCTGTTTAAGGTTATTGTCTAAATAAATCAAAATATGTGTTTAATAGGAAGATTAACTTAGCCTGTTTCATGTGAAGCTGGTATGTTTAGAGATATTGGGAGATTGTGAATGGTAACCCATCATTTTTAATATCTAGATCTGTAACTATTCACTTTCTCAGCAGAAGTTTGCTACCTACACAAGGCAAATATACAAATAAAAGGTTTTGCAAGCAAAACTTTTTAACTAAGCAGAAGTTCTTTTCTGTGCATTTTGCCAGAAAAGAGCAATTGCTTGGAAAGATAACAAGCGTTGTGTTTCAATCATGACACATTACACAAAGGTCAAAGGATGTCGGAGGAGACCCCAGTCTGAGCATGGATTTGGGAAAAATCAGTCAAATGTACAAAATGGTGACAGAACTAGGTATTTATAAAGATGCTTAGGCTATTTATTATTACTGGGTTTAACCTATTTTATATTCCTAGCCAGTCTTTATTCCCTAATCAATGAAACATGGATTCCTTTCTTTATCAAGTAGCCTTTTGGGATGAGTATTTCAGCAAGTTGGTCTTTGCCTTCCCCATTGCTTTGTTTACAGTAGGGTGGGTGCTTGCATTATTTTTTCACTTGAGGGAAATTCACCTCTCCCCTTTTATTGGAATTTACAGCCATAAGTTAAAGAAGAGGGCCTCTACTTTAGCTCTGTGGACCTTGTGAAATCCTGTAGGATTTTTCCAGATGAATCCTTCCATCTGGTAAGAGTTTCACTAAGATGGTTCTGTGATTAAAGAACAAGTTGTACTTGAAAGCCTTTCCAATTTTTCAAGAATTGTGTGCCAAATTTTCTGTATATTTCTCTCTCAAAAGATTTTTTCTCCAAAAGATTAAACTGTGTCATCCAGCCACATGTGGATTTACTCCTTGAGCCAAGTTCTTTCCTGCAACTAATTCTGTGAGTAAAAAACCCAACTGTAACCAATTTCTCTTGGGACCACTAGATGCATCTTACTAGGCAGAGTCAAAGGCTGCTGTTTCAAAGCCATCAGACCTGTCAAAGGGAACACCCTGTTTAATTAAACTTGAGAGTCCGGTGTGTGTCTTGCCTTACCAATATGTGAGTCTCTATAGCTTAGGTTCTGCTTATTCCACCATTTCTTCTCCCTGACACACATACATAAAAAACCAGTGGCTGGGAGGGTTTGCATTTTTAGCTCTTTTGTTTGTCAGCCTTGATCTCCATCTTTTTTATCAGTGAGTCCATGAATAAGCCACTGTGTTCAGGTTTCTTGTCAATGCAACCGTGTAATTTTTTGCTTTATGTTCTTTAATGGTGATTATGTGCATATTTCTTAGAAAGCATTTTAGCCTGGATTATTGTTTTGCCTTTCCCATTAACTGTTCTTTAGACAATAGCAAAAAATGTGCATAACCAGCAATTTAATAGCATTAATTAAATAGCAGACAGCTATTCTCCAGCTGACTCTAAGTCTTCAGTGCAGTTTATTGGTACTCTGGCTAATTTGAAGCGGCTTTTGCTGGCAGTGTTCAGTGTAAGAGAGATTTTGTTTATTCTGCGGTATCTTACTTGAATGGGGCCTGCCTGATAATCAGATCTTTTTCGGAAATTATGATAAGCATCAGTCTGCAAAAGAACTGCATTTAGAAGTGTAGTCCCCTCGTTCATGCATAACTCCTTTACATAGGGACCTCGTAGCAGAGAACTTGTGTTGGCGTTTCTCTTTCTCTTGCTTGCCTTTGTGTGTGAAACTGCAGAGAAGCGACACCAGGGGGCAGCGGAGGCATTTATGAATGGTAAAAAGTTTAGTTTTGTCCAAGAACGGAATTTACAAAGAAAACCTAAAAGAAAAGTGTGATTATTTGTTCATGACTCTTATTCGACCAACTCTGAACAGATCTGAGGAGGTCAGAAATAGAGTATGTTCCTTCTGTTTTTCTGATTCCAAAGTTTTTTTTTTTTAATCTGAATGAAAGAGTACCTCAAAAAGCATGTTTCCGTGCTGGGTTTTATGATGTAATTTATTAGGTAGTCTTAACATATTGCAGAATAAACAGCCCTCCTCTCTTCCTTCCCCCTAGCTCTGCAAATATGAATTTCAGAGGTGTCTGCTTGCCAAGCTATGCTGAGTGGTAGATTTGTCTGGTAAAAATACTACCTTGTCCCCATAATTTATTACTTTAGAATGACAAATGTTGCTGTCTCTTCCTTATGGATACAGGGTGAGGATATGAAAGGGTAAATTCAATGGGGGGTGAGGAGCATATGCCAGTAACTGCTGAAGTGACCACTCTTTACTACTTGTCTTTTCTGGCCTTCCAACTCAAGCAGCTTTACAGGCCATCAGCAACATAAATTTATTTCTAAACCACACTTTAAGGATGTTTCAATCCTTTTTAATCCAGTCTTCAGAAAGACTGATTACTATGTACCATATATATAGTATATGTATATATAGCTACATAAGGATTATGTATTCTAATCACATCCGGTTGGTGACTTATTGCTTAAAATTATATGTTCTGCCCAGCAACAGAAATTCAAAACAGTACCTAATCACAAAAATAGTATGCTTACATGGTTTGTGATTAAGAGGGTTAATGAGCTGGAAATAAAACCACTGAAGTTTTCTATAAGGAAAAATCTGGAGTTTCAAAATACCCTCTCTTCCTTCTCTGTGCAGGGTTTTTAGCAAGTGCATATTTTAAAAAAAAGGGGAACAAAAGTCTTTTTTCTCTCCCTTCTATCCCTAAACTCAATGAGCAGATAGTAAATGGGTTTACTAATAACAGTAGACTTGGATTTATTTTGCCTGAATCTAATTTGTACTTAATGTTAAGTACAAATTAACTGGAACTGTTGCCCATAATGGACCATATTTGGGGTATGGTAGTGATTTGCTAAAAACCTACACTCGCTGGTGCAAAGTTGCAGCACAGATATATCATGAAATACCTTTGTTTTTAAATGTGGTCTTGAGACTGAGATTTGAATGACAAGATTTCTTCTTAGCATCACCTGTCTTGGCAGTGATCATAGGTAGTTTGTTTTAGGGGATACATAGGACTCATCAAAATAGATTGGATTAGCTTGAGATCCATCCAGTCCACCATCTGTCTCTGGAAATAGAAGGTAACAGACACTTTAGAAGGTGCAAGAATTCTCTAACCAAGTATTCAGAAACAGGACGCTGGATTTTACCTCCTATAGTAATGACTAGTCTGAATTGTGAAGAACTTGCTATCTCAGTGTACAGTATGATATAAATTTGGAGGTCCAAAAGGATCCAAAACTATTTTTGAATCTTGATTGATAGTTTTGCTCATTTATATTTACGGGTAATGTGAAAAGCATTTTCTTTCACTGTCGTTTTGAATTTCCTACCATTTTAAAATTAAAATTCATTTGGTCTAGTATTATGAGAAAGGAAGTACAGTATCTCCTGAATATTCAGTATGTTCTGTCTTTGTATCGCATCTCCTCTTACTCATCTTTTTTATGGTAGTAATTCACTGTCTTTACAGATCCTTAATTATGCTTGCTGCCCTCCAAATCTCCTCTAACTTTGAATTATACTTTTCAGTCTTCTTCAGTTTCCTGGTTCCCATTTTCCTGTACTGTATATTTAGCTATTATAAGGTACTGTTACAATGGAAGCCTCTAAAATGGTGATTAAAATAGTACCTGGTAAAATATGCCCAGGGTTCTTCCAAGGAGGTACTGTAGAAATGCTTAGTATTTTTAATCTCTCTGTAGTCTGGACAGCATGAAAATAGCATTAGAGTATGAGGAGAAAATGTAGGAAAGCTCTGTAACAGGAACATGTAGCTGAGTTCAGCACAATAGCTGTTCTTACGAGGAAGACAATGTGTGGGGTTTGTTACCCAGAACCAGAATGCCTATTTTTATGCCTTAACCACATCTGCATGTTGGATGCATGCAATCTATTTAGTGTAGTGGGTGGAGTCAAAGCTGAAATATCGGCTGCTAAAAGGTAGGCTCAGAAAATGTCATTCCTTCTGCATACCTGGGTTTGGGATGAACAAGTTACTTTCCACACACACCTCAATGATCTAAGTAACAATATGGAAGTGAAGAAAACCAGACAGATCCTTTTTTCAAGTTCTGATCAGTAGAAGAAGAAATTTTTTTTTCTTCAGAGTAAGGGAAGGAAATGGTGAGCTGTAGTCCCAGCTGCAGTACCACCTGACTTCTGGAGAAGCATGACTTGACCATGAGCTTCACTTTTTTTCTAGTCTACCTTGAATAAGCATTAAATTCACTGGCTTACAAATAAAGGACTAAAATACTCTTTACTTTCTTTCATTTGGATACTAAATGACTTGCACTGCTATAAGCTTTAATCAAGTGTGACACCTTAAAATTGTTGATTGGATTTCTCAAGAGACAGTTCACCCATACCTAGATAACTAGTTTTATCTAGAGAAATTACCTTAAAAAGTCAGGTTTTGCCAACATTTTCTTTAGTTTTGAGGCTCAGAAAAGAGAAAATACCTGTGAATGCTTCTGCAGAGGATACTGTTTTGAGGCCTGGGTTAGGCTTTATTACTGCAAAAGCTTATCTGCTCTGGTACAGATTCAAAGCTGTTTCCAATCTTGTCAGTCTTCAAAGGGCACCCTCACATGACTGTTGCTGAAGAGTTGCTGAAGTCTGCTGGGGTGTGTAGTTATACGCCTGTTTGTCACACAACATGCCGAATTAAACCTGCTGCATGTAGGGCTGGCTACAGCCATTGTCTGCTGAACCCACAAGGGTCTTACAGCACTGTACTGGGAGAAAGGTTACAGTTTGGTTTGCAGGCAGGAATGCTCTTTTCTCCTATTGCTTTCCAAGTGAGACTATAATGGCTGATGCTACTCTGTCCTAGAGATGGGTTTCAAATTATCTCATCCTAGTGATTTTTCTAAGCCCAGCTTTTAGTAAAATGTATTATTTCAGGTACTTTGGAAAAACATTTGTTAAGATGTCTCCAAATCACCTTCTTGGAGGTCCGGAAATCTGGTGCTTTTCTGATAAAAGCTGATTCTTTCATCAGACTTTGAACAGTGCATTCTGATGGGTCACTGCTTGCAAGTCACTAAAAATTATCAAGTCACAAAGATAAATTATCTGAGAAAGAAAAATTGTTTATTTTGCAGTGACTACAGCTCTTTAGATATGTTGCATGTACGTATTTGATGAGTAGCTTCTCTTCTAGACATACTTCCTTCTCAACTCAGAAAGTGTCAGTGCTTCAACACTGTTTGGTGCTTGTTCAGTGTTACAACATTTTTTGGGTGCTTGCCTTGCAATTTTCATGCATCATCTAATTTCTTCTTCCACTTAGTTCTAACCTGTTGCCATTTACTCCAGCAGAGTACTTTTACAGTTTTCAGACAGTGAGCATCTTTGTCATCGTGTGTCTGAACATTGCTGGTAGTAACATGGATGATCTGGGCTGCAAAGAAAGGGAATGGTAGTTGCTCCTTCCTGTTCTCAAGAGAATCAGGAAAACCACTAAACTTTCTGTATTAATAATACACACTCAGCAAATAATTTTTTTTCTCCTAAAATTGGCAAGACAGATGCAGTTAGTTTTC